TTATATACCCTTTTTACCTTCAAAATTGAGAGTAATTTTGTTATTGATATAAATTATAATAAAAAAAAGAATATCCTAGCCAGGGCCACATTAGTTCTAACATCTAGAAATCAACATGTTCTCCTGAGGGTCGGTGGAAGGATGGTCTAAACCGTTGGTTTTCGACCGCTACGATCCTGGTTCGATTCCCACATTGGACACTTTTTTTCTGATTATAAAATGCTCCAATGGGCACCGATTCTTGCAAAAGTCCAACCCAACAAACGAATGAATGTAACCATACGGGTCTCTGGCACATTTGTAAGTACAAAGTCGAACTGCTTTTCATATAAGTAGACATGAGGTACGGTAAAAGCAGTAGCGAACTTCTACCCACCAGGATAAGCAAAAAAAAATTTTTCTCCTGGACAGGATATGCTTTCTTATTTAATATCAACACTTGATATTTTTATTTTTATGTTTTCTATTATTTTTTTCACATAAATAATGATTCTGAAAATAGAGCAATCCATACTTAAATCATTAGATAGTAAAAAGGCATATATTGGATTGAATAAAATATTTATTTGCCAATATTTCAGTTGGCTGAACGCCAACCTTTTCCAAGTCATTACAGTTTTGATTAAACAAACCCCAAGAGCCGCATAGTGTTATAATATCACAATTATAATAATTAATATTTTTTTTGAAAAATAATCTCAACTCTGATATTATAACATTATGCGGCGCTGAGTTTGTGTATGCAAAAATGTAATACCTTGATAAAGGTTGGCGTTCAGCCATCCGAAATATTGGCAAATAAATATTTTATTCAATCCAATATATGCCTTTTTATTATATAATAAATAATGATATAAATTAACCTTTTTGTTATTGATTTTATATTACGACAAAGTATTTATATATATTTAACATCACTAGAATTTCACACCACTTTGAAGATAGACGTTAGGATAGAAGAATTTGAACAAGAGCTACGGACGTGAGAGACTAGGAGAAAAGACAACTACGAGGACGATAACAAAAATAAAAGAAAACATTTTAAAGATATATATTACAATACAATATAACGCGGCTTGTGATTGTAAAACGACACTTTAAAATTATACCGCATGAGTTTCTTTTCAACGAAAAATCAAAATTTTATTCCAAGGAGAAATAACGATTATCTCCAACCTTAGGGATGAGGTATGAATGGATAAATTGTGAAAAGAATTGATGAACGGAAAAATATGTCCAAGGTAGCCTAGTGGACATGGCATCTGCCCAGTAAGCGGAACACTGTGGGTTCGATTCCCATCCCTGGACACTTTTATTTTTCCGTTTATCATTACTCTTCACAATTCATTCATTCATACCCCATCCCTAAGGTTGGAAATAATCTTTTTTTTTCCTTGGAATAAATTTTGATTTTTCGTTGAAAAGACACTCATGCGGGATATTTTCAAATGTCGGTATCTATTATATCATTTACATTTTCAAAATTTACCTTAATTATAGAAATCCACTAGGGAAACGGGTAAAATTGCAATAGATGTAATCTCGAAAGATTTTATTTCGAAGAAGGAATGAAAAATCGACGAGATATTTTTACAATTTTATTAACATCATGAAACGCGATATCCCAAACTCAGGGATATTTGCGTCGATACCTCCCTCTACATCACAACAAATCGGCTATATACAATCCTGTTCAATTCATTATTTTACATTGTCCGAAGATAAAAACAAACAATAAAGCAAAACACACAAAGCAAGCATCGCAATTCGTTTCCTTCTAAGTTTCCCTTTCCCTTTTCCAATTTAAAAGAAAGTTGTAAATAAATTTGCAAAATTTATCAAAATTTTTACACCTCTTTTTATCGTCTACAAATTCATCTAGCTGTCCAATACGACCAAATTTGTTTTCCCTATAAACCCGGAAAATTGGGCAATTCATAAGTAGATATTTCGAGTCCTGAATTTCACCTCCGCAGAAGCATCCTGGTTCCTTCACCGCGCCGATAGTTGCCAAAATTTCCCAAAATTACCATGATCTGTAATGAATTGGATATTATAAAAATTTGGACGGAAAAATCTTGGGATTCCAGATACGAAAAAGCTTCTGAAAATTTCATTAGTATTATCAAAATTTTCTTTCATTTTTGCGTGTAAGAATGATTTGACTATACTTGGAGCATGGGGTTCGTAAGTAATTAGATCTTCAGTGGACAGTTGAGCTAGATCATATTTGATTATTCTAGATTCTATATAGTCTGTTAGGAGTGGAATTTTTGCCAAACTATGCACACAGTTTGATGAAGTGGTTTTATATGCTCTAACTGCCCATAAAATGATCTGGTACTGCATGGAATTCAGTTTTTGTTTAGAACGATTGTTTAAATATTTAAACCAAATTTCTGATCCGTATGTAAGTACAGGCCTTATTATTGTTTTATATAAAGTTAACCTCTTTTGAGTATTTAAACCCCACATATTGCCGCTTAGTGAACATAATTAATTTTTCATACGCCCTGCCTTACACAGAATATCATTTACATGCGGAGTAAAGTTAACTTTATTTTCCCATTTGTGATTTGAAGATTTCATTCCCAGAATGTTTACTTGCTTGACCGGCCTAATTATATTGTTATTAACCTTAATAGGTATTTTTTTTCTCTGTATTGCAGGTAGAGCAAATTAGTTTTCTCTGTACTGATCGTTAATTTATTTTTATTACACCATTGGATCACATAATTTAAGATGTATTCACTTGCGGTTTTTAGTCCTTCAATAGTCTTATTCCAGCAAATTATTGTAACGTCGTCTGCATAACATATAATATCTGCATTCATTGATTCAAAATTTATCAACAAATCATTTAGCAAAATATTCCATAGAAGTGGTGATAAAGGTCCACCCTGTGGACATCCTTTAGTTAGTTTCTTATAAAAAGTTTCTGATTTGTATGTAAATTTCACCTCCCTTTCATTATTCAAATAATATTTTATGATCCGTATTAAATCTGAGGGAACATCATTATCCATTATTTTTATAATCGCAGGCCACCATGCATTGACGAATGCACCAGCTATATCTATAGCTATCAAGGAAGTCAATTCTTTTTGTTTATGTTTCAATATAGTTTCAATAATTTTTTACATTCCAGTAATAGTTGATCTAGATTTCATAAAGCCATGCTGCCTTGAGCTCATTAGATTATTTTCTAAAAATAATAGTTACTTAATTTATTTTTTTATTTTATTCTCAAATGTTTTAGAGAGATTAGATGTCAATGATATAGGTCTATAATTTTTATTTACTTCATAATTCGTTTTGCTTGGTTTTGGAATTATTTTTAAGAATGATTTTTTCCATTCATCCGGATAGTATCCCATTTCTATACATTTATTGAATAATTGATGCAGAATTGGGATTATTTTTATTTTAGCTTGTCTGATCATATTGTTACTAATGTAATCAGGGCCCGGTGCTTTTTTAATATTAGATTTTAAAATTGTTTCCTCTATTTCCTTAGATTCAATATAAACACTATTTTTATTTTTATATTTAGGCGTATAATTTCTAATCAAAATATGATTATCTTCATCTAAACCTCTAATATCACCCTGAAATAGATCGTTCATTAAACCTTTTATTTTGTCGAACTTTAAATGATCTGGTAAATTATCTTTGAATGACTTTCTTCTATAAAATTTCTCCAACTCGCTCTTTTTGCCTTTTTAATTTTATTTAAATATTTATTTCTCATTGATTTATAGATCTTTTCATAGACCACTCCATGCCGATAATACAGATTTCTAATATAGTGGAAATCGTTTTTCATATTCTTCAGCTTCCCATCCCACCAGTATGTATTTGTTTTATGATTTCCGCTTCTTGTCTTGACATTTAGTGACAGATAAGCTGCCTCTTTAATTATTTGTGTGAGAGTCTTTACAATGTTGTCAATATCATTGATGTTTGACGCGTGGTTTATCATGGTGATAATATTATCTACGTCTTGTATTGCTATTTTTTCGGTAAATGTTTTCCAATCAGCATCTTTTTCTATAAATTTCCATGTTGAGTTTTGAACTGTCCTTTGCCTGTTAAAATTATGATAAATGTCAAAGGTTATTGCTACGTGATCTGAAATGTGCGTCAATATAGTCGTCTTCCAGTTTTGTACAAAACTTATTGATTTTTTGTTTGAAATCGTAAGATCTATAATGCTTGAATTTCGGCAGGTGGGTATCTTAAGATTATGAATAAATAGGCTAGGTTCATCTATGATGGAGTGGAATTTGAAACCATTGGACTTTGTCGTCGGATCAAACCAGACTGGGTGTCTAGAATTGAAGTCACCACATAGTATAATAGGTTGTTGATTGTAGGTATCCAGAAGCTCCTTGATACATTTTCGATGAATGTCATTAAATCTATGTGGATGTATATAAAAGTTTTCAATAACAGTATTTGATTTTGCTGAATTTATACAGGTGGTTGTACAAAAGGAGTTTGTGAATATATTGATTTTATTATATTTTAAACACTTATTCATAAAGATCGTTGCAGTGTATATTTGTTCATCTGTCGTTGAATGCACTATTTGAGATTCTAAATCGAATATTACATCTCTATTAATTATATAGGGTTCCTGTATTAGGATGATATCTGGTGGGTTGTCTTTTATTGCAGCTTGAAGCTCATTCAATGCCATGAAACCTTTTCTTAAATTTTTTGTAAACATTTAATTCCTTTTCCCAATGAAATAATTTAAACTGGGTGTTTTTTATTCTTCATTTATGGGAGAATATTGTGTTCTTTGGATTATTCGATCTGTTTGTATTTTATAAAGCGGGCACACGTTAGAATTTGGCCTATGATTTGTTGAGCTATTTTTATATTTAGGGTGATTAAGCAATTGAAACATCCTAGTTCTCCAGTACAGCAATGATCGCCCTGTATTCCACAGTTTTTACTAACTTTCACTTTGGAGCAATCCCTTAATTTATGAGTCGGGTTATGTTCAAAGCAATTTTGACATTGTTTAACAGAAATTCTATCCTGTACGTAACACCTCTCGAATTCGGTATATATCACATTATTCATTTCTCTTAATTTTTGATAAACTTTCGGAGAGACTCTTAAAACTAAATTTTGATACGGTGTGTTAGATTTCAATGCAAAAATAAATTTCATTTCACTTTCCATTCCCTCCTATTCTAAATTCATTCTACATACCGTTTGTACCAATGACGATGTTTCGGTTAATTTACATACATTTTTAATCCCTATTGTTGGATCTCTTGGCCTGGGTATGTAAATTTTGCTAACCGCTTTCAGTTCTTCTGACTTTTCTAATTCCTTTTGCAGTATATTTGTATCTAGAAGACTTGGCGATTTTATTAAAGATATATAAGTTTTTAAAACGACTTCGACAATTTTACCGCAAATGTTTATTTTCAACGAAAAATCGTAATTTTTTTTAAGGAGAAATAACGACTATTTATATCCTTAGGGATGAAGTATAAAAGGTGAATTGTGAAGAGTAATGATAAACGGAAAAATAAAAGTGTCCACATTGTTCTCATCCCAGAACACTTTATTTTTCCGTTCATCATAACCCTTCACAATTCATCCTTTCATACTTCATACCTAAGGATAGAAATAGTCGCTCTTTCTCCTTTAAAGAAATTTCGATTATTTCGTACAAAATAAACATTTGCGGTAAAATTGTCAAACGTCGTTCTACAATCATAAGCCGCATTATATATATATATAAGTTTGCCTTACACCTCTTTATTAAAGAAATGCATCGCCCATTTAGCTTTTATTGCTTCTTAGAAGGAAGAGGAAAGCAAAGTCGATTACCCTGCAAAGCTGAGAACCTGGCGTAACAATATACATGGCTAATTTTAAGAGTTATAAAGAGTTGAATCTAGGAAAACTTATAAGCAAATTTTCAGGCTTCTTTCTTGAATATCCTTGTCATTACCAAATTTCCCTATTCAACTCGCAACTAGCCCCTCACTGCGGAAACAGAGAGGAGTAATGTTGGGGAAGATGGGTGGAATCCAGCTGCGGAAGGATGGCCCATGTGGGCCCCCTACGGCGCGACGGGGATTGGTGAGTGGGGGAGGTAGAGCTGGACATTTGACAAGAGTGACATAAGACATAATGGCGACTAAGGGCAAGAAATGACTTGCTATCATCAAATATATCACAATTTATATATATAAAATTTAAAATACAGTAGACTCTCCTATAACGCGAGGTTTTACAACGCGATAAAAAAATTGCGACAAATTCATTTATACAACGCGA